CAGAGAAAACAGAAATCAGATCTAACAGCAGAGAAAACAGAAACCAGATCTAACAGCAGACTAAAGCCCAGGCTGGCCTCGGTGGGCTCTGAGCCTCCCAAGCCCTGAACCTGCTGCAGGGAACGATCCCCTGTGCCCAGCCCTCATTTCAGGGATTCTGCTGCCTGGGACACAGGCAGATAAATGCAACATTCCTGTCTGTGCCCCAGCAAAGGAGAGAGCAAAGGTTTGTCCGAGAGCCTCCTAGGAAATCGTCAAAACTACAGCTGGTGGTGTTTACTGCTGGGTGAACAAAGCAAAGTGCATTTTGTAAACGATCGACACAAAATTCACTCTTCACAAGTGCCCACACCTAAGAGGCCCCTGGGGACATCCAGGAGGGCTCAGTTTGAAAACTCAGCCAAGCCACACACTTCACTCCTGGCTCCCAGGCATTCCTCCTGTGGCTTGCTGCAGCTTTATCAAAAAACCCACAGAAAGAAGATAAACTGGCTTGGAAACAGCTTTTAAAGCAAAATATGATAAAATATTCAGAAGAACATCTAAGAGATGTATTCTAGGAAATACTGAAGCATTTCAGTCTTTCCTTGCCACTCCCACTCGAGGCTGTAAGTGGGTCAGAGATGCTGCAGTGCCTCCTCTCAGAGCTCAGACTCAGCTCTCCTCCATCCCACTGGCATCAAACCACCAAAGCCCCTCAGTTATCTCAGTGTGGACTGAGATCAAAAAGCAAAACCCACAAGTGAATTCTTGCTGTGGAACACTGCAGTGAGGAAGCAGCATTTCATCCCAGGCTGCACGAACACACCCAGAGCACAGGGAAGCAAAGGACTCAAACTGCATCAGTCACTTCACCTCCTGCTCCAGCAGGAGCACCCTGCAGCCTCTTGGGGGAAAAAGGAGCCACAACGGTGGGAAAAAACATAAAGCTGCAGCCACAAATGGCAACTGAATTGCTACTAAAAATGGCCACAAAAAATCACGAGAGAAATACAAATAAATCATCCCAGCCCCCAGAGCATTGCACAGCCCAAAGCAGCAATTCCCATTTCTCTTACCAGCCTGTGGCTGAGCTGGATGCTGAGCAGAGGAGACCCTGACAGGTTGCAGGACAGCTGGGGCAGAGGTTCCACCTTGATCGAGATGAGGTAACTGCTGGCTGAGATCATGTAACCCTTGTAGGCAGCAGCTTCAGCAATCCTTGGAAAGAAATAAACACATTGAGGAAGAAGAATTAACAACTGGCTTTTTAATTTATCCAGAACAACAAAGGAACACAGCACCTCCTTTTCCCATTCCTCCAGGGCAGCAAGGTCTGGCCCCAAAGGATCCTACAGGACTGGAAGCCATGGCTACAAATTATAGAGGACAGCTCTGGACAAAGGCTCCCCTTCACTCTGCTCCTCTTTGCAAAGGTTTACAAAGCTTGCTGAACGTGTCTGAGGGAATCAGAGAGAACCCTGTGAAGGGATCTAAACGATGCCTGAGCAGGGTGAGGAGGAAACTCACAGGGGTTTCAGGCTGGCTGATCCAGCAGGTGAATCAGTGGGAGACACACAGACAAAATGCACATAAACATGGGAATGTATTTAGAAGTGATTTACAGCTTGAGCCTGAAAAAGAGATGATGTCCAGTTAGATTTGTTAGAAAAGTCACAATACAAACGTGACTAAATCGTGATTAGTCCTGGAAATGCATTCGTTCTAGTGGGAAATAATTTTGCAGTACATAAGGACCCTTATTTGAAAGTAAAACTTATGAGTTTGGCATTTTCACACATTCAGGGGTAACTGAGGTGCGTTTGGTTTCAGGGTAGAATTTTTTACACTCCCAGTAACAAACTGTGCAGGATCGAGTGGCTGCTGTCATCTGGCCCTGCAGGTGGATGAATGGGTTTTACCACCAGAAATTGGAGCCCTGGTGAATAAACCAGCCTGGGTTTCCAAACATAGCCCAGCACTGGAAAGGACCAGTTTGAAAGCAAATGAAAAACCACCTTGTTTACACCCAGCACCTGCCTGCAGGGGCTTCTTATTTTATTTTTTAAAAAAAAGGACCAAAAAAACTCATGTCAGACATTCAAATACCTTCACTCAGCTCCTTGGCAGGGTCACAGAACAGAATTCCTTTAGCACAACCCCTGAGTTCTGACCTGGAAAAACTTTTCCCTCAGAATCAGAGATCACTTCTGCTCCCAGTAACCAGCACAGGAATGGAACTGGTTCATCTGGAGGCAGAATTTGCTACCCTGATATGGCAAATTTAAGTTTGGACAAGGACCCATGAGCCAACATTTTGAGGTTTCTCCCACACAGATTCAGAGCATGGGTGCTTTCTCCACGCCCTTTATCTGCTAGTTTTAAATTTCAATTTAATTTGGTGGATCTGAAGTGTGCCAGATCTCCAGGAATTGATGTTTCTGTGCCTGCACAAACCTCTCTTCACCTCGGCCCGGGGTGTCAGGTCCAATCTACACAAACTGCTGTGAGCAGGAGCACAATGGGCTCAGAACATTGCTGTGTTTCATTTTCCTTGGGGAAAGAATCAAAACTTGCTCCCCTTAGAAACTGCTATTTATGTAGTCTGAAAATAGAAATCATCTGTCTGTACAGCACAAAAGCTCCAAGAGTTTTGGTTTTGGTTTTCCCACCACAAAAAAAAAAGAAAAAAAAAAAGGTCAAGTTTCAAATTACAGGTGTTTAAATAGCCCAGTGGTAGAAGGAACACAAAAGAAATCCTTTAAAACAAACTACTCTGAGAAAAATATTATTCTACTGAAAAGTAAGCAAAAAAGTTGTAATAGTAGGGCACAAAAAAGAAAAGCAAGCAGAAGAGAAGTGCACAGTTATTTTTAAAGCATCTTTGAGTACCTGGGGTTTGGTTCCACAGAGGAAAAATTGCAAAGGCAGCATTCCCTGAATTATTGCCTTTCTGGATGCTGGTTTGGGCAGACCTGCAGCTACACTTTTATGGAATCATCCTGTAGTGCATGACATACTCAACCATTACGAGCAATTTGAATTAATTCTAGAAATCCAGGAAACTTTTCTTCTCCCTTGTGTTTAAGATTGTGACAGGGCAGAGCCCTCATTCTCCAATGAGTGCTGAAAACAAACACAGCTCAGGGGAGCAGGGATGGATCTGCAGGCTGTGCTGCCCCACAGATTCCAGGGAATGCACTCAGACATTACATTTCTGTTCCATTTGCTGTAGCAGGGTCTGTGGCAGTGCATTAGAACAGAGCTCTGATATGCAGCAGCTTTCATCTGGTTGTGTTTTCTAAACTCAGCCTAAGTCAGGATCATTTAAATTCTCTTTCTCCCTTTGAAAAATTGAGATTACATCCTATTACCTTAATAAATTGCATTGATCCTCCTCTTAGAAGAGCACAGGCTCTCATAAGTTACTGCCTCATTTTCTTCATGGAAGTACAAAATATTGCAGGGATGGCCAAGCTCCCTTGCAGGCACCTGCTGAGTCCTTTCCTTGGGAGAGCAGGGCAGACAAGAGCACGGCTTGTCTTGCTTTGGAAATGTCATTTAGGAATCACTGTGTGATTATCTCAGTGTGATCCATCTGCACTGAGATCCAATCTGGATCAGCCGAGCAAGGGAGGGGATTCTTCACCCCCAGGGTCACAAAGGAGAGCCCAGGAACTGGGGAAGGGAAAAAAATCCCTGGGGAGGGAAGGGACAATCCCTGGGGAGGGAAAGGAAAAAATCCCTGGGGAGGGAAAGGAAAAAATCCTTGGGGAGGGAAGGGAGAAAATCCCTGGGGAGGGAAAGGAGAAAATCCTGGGGGAGGGAAAGGAGAAAATCCCTGGGGAGGGAAGGGACAATCCTTGGGGAGGGAAGGGACAATCCCTGGGAAGGGAAAGGACAATCCCTGGGCAGGGAAGGGACAATTCCTGGCAGGGAAGGGACAATCCCTGGCACCCACTGGGGCTGGGATGCTGCTCCTTTCCTGCTGGCAGGAAGAACCCAGCAGAACTCGGAGTGGGAAGGAGTGGCAGTGTAAACTGATCCACACAGCCCCAGCAAACGAGATGAAAACAGCCCCACATTTGCTTACAAGGGCTGTGTAATGTTGGCATCAATGGCCTTGCAGGAGTGCCCTGGAGCTGTGCTGCACAGGGTCATACAGATCTGCTTTTACTTTATCTTATCTGCTAATGATTTCACTGATGGAGGACATAAAGCAAAAGGTCTTTAAGGAATTGCCTGGTCTCCTGTTATAAAACCACCCTCATGGGTTTCCAGGGTTAGGACTCAGATTTTGTCTAAAGAGGAGTGTTATGTTTTCTTGTTTCATTTAAGTGCAAGCTTTATCTTCATCTGTGCTAGGAGAAAAAAAAAATGCAATTTCCTTTTATGAGCCAGATTAAATTATGAAATTCTAGTAGCAGATCTGATGAATGGAAGGAGAAGACAAAGAAAGACAAACATGTCGCTATGGGAATCTATTTTATTATTGCAACCTAAAATAAAACACAATGTAAACTCCGAGCTGTCTCTGGTTAATGACTGCACTCAGGGCCAGGGTTATGGCTTGTCATTTGTTTACAGCTGATAAAGACATGACTGCTCCAAGGAGTGTCACCAGGTAATCAACAGCCTGTACCTGCTGAGGTACTCACCTGGTGTCCTCAGGGTTGATGTTATGGAAGAAATAATGCATGTTGTGGTAAAGGAGGCCCACGATGGTGATCCAGGCTGGGGAGAGGGAACAGGGGTCAGTCCTCAGAGCAGTCCTGAGCAGCAGAACTTCTGTCTGGGGCTGGAACTGTGTTAATGGCCAGCCCTGACTTACACTGCCCTTCCCATCCCTGCAGCCCAGCTCCGATTGCTCTGGTGAGGGAGGAGTGTGAGCACACAGCACAGACACCCAAAGAAAACACAGGCACGTCTGTGCTGCACCTCCAGAGCCAGCAGCTGTCAATTATAACACAGAAAAGCCCAGCAGCAGAGAGGGGGGCAGGACAGACACAGCAGTGCCTCCCTGGGAGCCACCAGGGCCACCCCAGCCCTGCACTGGAGCTCAGGGCAGGCAAGCAGCCCCAGTGGCTGTCTGCTGCCCACATTGCAGGAAATTCTGGGCTCTCCAGCATCTGAGTGAAGAGACAGATGAGGATTTTCTCACTGAGCCACACAGACGTCTTTTACCATCCCTTTTGTTGGGCTCCGAGTATTTATAGTGTCAGCTGTTCAAGGTGAAATAACAGATTTTTTTAGGTTAGCTCATCTGGACAGTGTAGAAGTAGAAATTGCTCAGAAGTGAGCTTTAGGTGGAAAAGAGTAAAGCATTTACTGCCCTGGATCATTTCAGAATACAAAGCATGACAACGTTCTGGAAAATCAAAGAAAATCAAAGAAAATCAAAGAAAATCTGCGTGGTGAGGAAATGAATAAGTGGGAAGGGAAAAACCTCCTCTCATGCTATTTTTGGCATCACCAGCTGGTTTGCAATTCCAGTTATTCTAACCTGGGAGGATTTGCAGTCTGCAGCCAGAGCCTGCCAGTGCAAGGAAACAAAGCTGTCACCAGCAATCAGGGAGGCAGATCAGTAATTACCAGAGAATTTCTCACTGCAGGGCATTTCCAGCCAACTCGGCACTTTGGGAGGGAGGGAGGGAGGGAGGGAGGGCCCATCCCTCTCCTGCACAGGTCAGGAAATTCGGGGGGCTGGGATTTAGGGCAGGAAAGTCAGATTTCCAAAGATTTGAGGATGGAGGTGAATGTTTTTGTAAATGGGTTCCTTCAATCTCTGCGGGAAGCACAGATAATTAACTTCAGAAGTTACTTTGGCCTCGATGAAAGGTGCAGATTTTACCCATGCTTCTTTTAGAAATGTTTAAAATTTTAGCGTAGGTATGGATTTCTGAGTTCTGCCTTCTTGCCATCAGTTTAGTTTTTATCTTCATCCTGTTGCTGTGGCTGCTGCTGCTTAAACCTGTCATTTTATAGTTTAATTTTATACAAAAGGCCAATTTTGCATGAAGGGATTGTTAATACCTGATCTGACATCCTGGAATTCCTTAGGAATAGTCAGTTCAGATAATTAAAGAAAATAATTATGAAATTATGGCTTCTCTGATGTAAAAATGTGTCAGAATTAAATGAGTCTCTGTTGCTCAGCTCTATTATTCAACATTAATTCAACTGCTATGAAAACTCCACCACATTAATTGCTCATTAGTATGACAGGACCACTGCTGCTTCCTCTGACCCAGTGCAATCCACAGGGATCAAACCAATTACTTGCAAAAATAAAGTGAACCAAAACCTGCTCTAAAGCCAAATCATTTTCAGATACCTTGTGCACATTTCTCCCTTTAATCTTTTCCTTACCTTTTCCATGGAAAGCCTCACTGGGAATGGAAATATAACTCTGCCCTCGAGATGGGAATCGATAGTGGGACACGTTCAGGGTCTGGGGGTTCATCCTGACCACGGTGTAATCTGTGTGAGAGCCCAAAAACCACATCAGCACATCAGCAACCCCTGCAGCTCCCTGCCTGCTTACCCTGACCTCCCTCAGAGCTATTGCACCCCTGCCCCTCCAACCCAGACTGCAGAAAATGGGAAAAACCCCCGAGCCCAGCAGTGCCTTTTGGACCTGGGTGTTTTATGGCAGAGCTCTGGGTGCTGCTGTTGTGGCAGGCTCAGCTGAGCCAGGCTCAGAGCTCCCAGGGAAGAGCACAACTCCTGCACTGCCACTGCCACTGCAGCTCGATTTCAGTGCTGGGAGCCCAGGTGAGCAGGGAGACAGGTATGGATGGGCTGGGAATGCTCATTCACCCCTCAGAGGGGTCTCCACAAGGCAAAGCAGCAGCCAGAACACAAATAAAACACCTCGGGCACCTGTAGCATCCAAAGATGCAGAGGAAATGCTGAGATGCCAACCTGCAGTAAAATAAAATTCTCCAAAAAGGTCACAACTATTTATATCATTTTCAGTCTCTTGGAAAACCCTTCACAGATTAAGATTTTCCAGCACCCAAACCTCCCCACGGGCTGCATTTGAGCTCTAGACCCTTTAACTCCATTAGCACAGCATTACCCAGACCCTCACACATTATTTATTCTGAATTCCTCCCCAAATAACCTCAGGGAAGCTCAGGCACAGCCAGAGCCCGTCAGCCCCAGCCTGACTGCACAGACATCTCCCTACAAATAAAACAAATAAAGAGGGAAATGATGGGATTTGCTTTCCTCCTGCAGAGGGGAAGCCCAGGAGGGGTTGGGGACACCGAGAGCAGAGGAA